TCTACATGAGGTTAGAACAGAACCATCATCAGAACATGCTGATGTTCTACATGAGGTTAGAACAGAACCATCATCAGAACATGCTGATGTTCTACATGAGGTTAGAACAGAACCATCATCAGAACATGCTGATGTTCTACATGAGGTTAGAACAGAACCATCATCAGAACATGCTGATGTTCTACATGAGGTTAGAACAGAACCATCATCAGAACATGCTGATGTTCTACATGAGGTTAGAACAGAACCATCATCAGAACATGCTGATGTTCTACATGAGGTTAGAACAGAACCATCATCAGAACATGCTGATGTTCTACATGAGGTTAGAACAGAACCATCATCAGAACATGCTGATGTTCTACATGAGGTTAGAACAGAACCATCATCAGAACATGTTGATGTTCTACCATCAGACCAGGACTTCAGCCTCACACACCTTCATCCATGTGGTTGGTGGTCTACAACAGACCCACACTACTGTGCACCATCAGATGTACCCCCACAGCCCGGACCACCCTGTGAGGTGAACATCATCTCTACTCTCAGAAACATGGAACACATTATTGTCACAAAGCTACCCAGCATCCTTTGCAGCTCACGCATCTTTTTCTTTTTTAATGAATTAATTTATTTTATTTCACTTTTTATTTAATTTAGTAGATCTGAATCACAGGTACAGTTAACTAACCCTAACCTGACCCTAACCTGACCCTGACCCTAACCTGACCCTAACCAGACCTGACACTAACCTGACCCTAAATCTAGCATAAAGCTAATTCACAGCTTGGTCCTAAAGCCCACCCCACCACCCACCATCAGCCTCTGAAGTCATGGGGACCAGGATTTGGTCCCCACAAGGCTGCATTTTCCTAAAAGCTCATAAAACCAGTCCATCACTGCCTTTTCTCTTTCCTCGCAGCACATGGTGCCTGTTGGGCTCAAATCACCTTCTTCTGTTTATTTCAACTTGATTTGTTGTTTTAAGTTAGTTTTTATATTTCCAGCTTCTAAAAAGGCCAAAAAATCCCACCGACTCCTGAAGAAACAACTGTCTTCTCCAAACTTCCAACGCAAAGAAAAACCAGCAAAAGTAAGTTAGATAACTTTCACTCCTTCCAGATGAAAGACTGTAAGAAACAATAATTATCTTTATAAAATACTGACTTTTTTACAATAAATCTAAAAACAGAAAACTGAAAAGTTCTGCATGCATCAGTCTTCACCCCCTTCCTTCAAAAGCTTTGAAATGAAAAGCCACTGACATGATGCTGCAGTAAGATGGCTCCTCCCACTTGATCACCTGACCTGCTGTAACACCTGCAGTAATGATGCTGTGAAGCAGACACAGGTGAGGCAGGCAGCTCTGAGCCAGGAGGCTCTCCAAACACTCGTCCATCACTTCAGTCAACTTCCTCCTGGAGAAACTGAAGGAAACCAGTTTTCTGCAGTTTGTTACATTTCAACACAAACATGTGGTCGTTGTGTGTTTCACAGCTTCACCTGTTGGGTGCACCTGTCCAGCCTCTGGTTGTGTTCAATGAAGTAAAGTGACAACAGCTGAAGCTTTATTTCTAAGATGGTGCACACAGTGCAGCACTGCTGCATCAGGTCTGAGGGCTGAATATATTTACACATCTTTTATCTTTAAAAGAAATGCTTAAAAAAAGGTTTTACCCAACTTTTCCCAAGTTGCTGCTTTGGTCCATTAATTCTGGTCAAACCAGGCTCCAAATGAAACCTGTGTCAGGGTGGCTAACTCTTGTTTCTCTAATGGTAGTGAAATATTTGTTTTTAAAGCATTCATTAGTTCACATAAAGAGCAGCGGTTATTTGACTAAAAGACTTTAATTTGCTGTTTTTATTTATTTACAAAGATGTTTTTATTGAATCTCAAGTGTTGTAATTTCTGCTCACCTGAAAAACTACAGAATTAAATCAGCTTTATTTCTCCTCACAGTCACAGAACAGAGAGAAAACACCGTTCACGTAAGTTCTCCACAAGTCTGGACCTGCTGTCACCCTGCCTCCTGTCAACCTGTGTGTGTGTGTGTGTGTGTGTGTGTGTGTGTGTGTGT